GTGATTTTTGTTTTTAATTCTGTTTATGTGGTGTATCACATTTATTGATTTATGTATCTTAAACTGTCCCTGCATCCTTGGTATAAAACCCACTTGATCATGGCGGATTATCTTTTTGATATGCTGTTGCATTTGGTTAGACAGTATTTTGTTGAGGATTTTTACATCTATATTCATCAGGGATATTGGTCTGTGGTTTTCTTTTTTTGTTATATCCTTGCCTGGTTTTGGTATTCAGGTGATACTGGCTTTATAGAATGATTTAGGGAGGATTTCTTCTTTCTGTATCTTTTGGAATAATGTCAATAGGATTGGTATCAATTCTTCTTTGAATGTTTGATAGAATTCAGCTGTCAATCCATTTGGTCCTGGACTTTTTTTGTTGGAAATTTTTTTTATTACCATTTCAATCTCGCTGCTCGTTATTAGTCTGTTTAGAGATTCTATACCTTCCTGGTTTAATCTGGGAGGGTTGTATATTTTCAGGAATTTATGCATCTCCTCTAGGTTTTCTAGTTTATATACATAAAGGTATTCATAGCAGCCTTGAATACTCTTTCGTATTTCTGTGGTATCATTTGTAATATCTCTCGTTTCATTTCTAATTAACTTGTTTGAATTTTCTCTCTTATTTTCTTGGTTACTCTTGCTAATGGTCTATCAATTTTATTTATCTTTTCAAAGAACCACCCTTTTGTTTCATTTATCTTTTGTATTGTTTTTATTTGTTTGTTTCAATTTCATTTAGTTCTGCTCTGATCTCAGTTATTTCTTTTCTTCTGCTGGGTTTAGGTTTGGATTGCTTTTGTTTCTCCAGTTTCATGAGGTATGACCTTAGATTGTCTTTTTGTGCTCTTTCAGACTTTTTGATGTAGGCATTTAATGCTATGAACTTTCCTCTTAGCACTGCTTTTGCTGTATCCCAAAGGTTTTCATAGGTTCTGTCACTACTATCTTTCAGTTCAAATAATTTTTTAATTTCCATCTTGATTTCATTGTCGACCCAATGATCATTCAGGAGGAGGTTATTTAATTTCTGTGTATTTGCATGGTTTTCAGGGTTCCTTTTGGAGGTGATTTCCAATTTCATTCCACTATGGTCTGAGAGAGTACTTGATATCATTTTTTCTCAAATTTACTGAGACTTGTTTTGTGCCCTGTCATATGGTCTATCTTGGAGAATGTTCCATGCGCTGATGAATAGAATGTGTATTCTGCAATCATTGGGTAGAATGTTCTGTAAATATCTGTTAAGTCCATTTGTTTTAGGGTGTAGTTTAAGTTCATTGTTTCTTTGTTGACTTTCTGTCTTGATGACCTGTCTAGTGCTATCAGTGAAGTATTAAAATCCTGCACCATTATTGTGTTGCTCTCTACCTCACTTCTTGGTCTATTCGTAATTGTTTTACAAATTTGGGCGCTCCAGTGTTAGGTGCATATATATTTAGAATTGTGAAATTTTCCTATCGGAGTAGTCCTTTTACCGTTATATAATATCTTTTTAAACTTCTCTTGCTTTAAAGTTTTTTTTTGTCTAAGAATACCTATTCCTGCTCTCTTTTGGTGTCCATGTGCATGGAGTATCTTTTTCTACCCCTTTACCTTAAGTTTATGTGAGTCCTTATGTGTTAGGTGAGTCTCCTGGATATAGGAGAAACTTGATTGGTGAATTCTTATCCATTCTGCCATTCTGCATCTTTTTAAGTGGAGCATTTAAGCCATTTACATTCAATGTTAGTATTGAGATATGAGGTACTATTCTATTCATTGTGCTATTTGTTGCCTAAATACCTTGTTTGTTTGTTTTTTCTTATTGTTATATAGATTCTGGGAGATTCCTGCTTTAAGGAGGTTCTATTTTGGTGTATTTTGAGAATTTGTTTCAAGATTTAGGGCTCCTTTTAGCAGTTTTTGTAGTGCTGGCCTGGTAGTGGCAAATTCTTTCAGTATTCGTTTGTCTAGAAAAAACTCTATCTTTCCATCATTTACAAAGTTTAGTTTTGCTGGATAAAAAATTCTTGGCAGATAATTGGAAGAGATATGTTCACCTCTCTGTTCATTATTGACATTAGTCAAGATGTGGAATCAAGCTAAGTGTCCATTAACAGATGAAAAGATTTTAAAAACTGATATATATTCATGTGTCTGCATATGTATGTATGTATGTATATGTATGTATGTGTATGTCTCTCTGTCATATATAATGAAATATTTTTCAGCCTTCAAAAAGAAGGAATGCATCCATGCCTTCCACATGTGACAACATGGATAAATCTAGAGGGCATTATGCTAAGTGAAATATTTGAACCAGAAGCAGGAAGACAAATCCTGCATGATATCACTTACATGTGGAATCTAAAAACATTGAACTCTTAGGAACCAATATTTTTAAAGTAAGATAATTTCTCCTGATACTATGAATTTCCAGTTTTTCCAGAAAGATAGCAAAACTTACAATGCTGGGTCACAATGGCACAAAAGTCTGAGGCTAAGGCCTACTTCAGATAAAGCATGTGTTCTTCTATTTACCTCAGTACCTGCTCAGCACACTTTATTCACTGCTAATACCCTCTTGCTCCCTGCAGGTACATATGTGTGTGACATGCACATGTGTTTTTCAAAGAGCAAAACTCTTTATAACTGTAGGAACATATTGAAATAAAGAAAAATAAAGCTTTTTAAAGATGGTAAGAAATTCTTCGAAGGCTATTTCCTTTCATGTTGTTGACCTGCTTGACTTAATAAAGTAGATACGAATGTGTAGATAAATATAAAGAGAAAATAAATTCAAAGAAGGGTGAAATGAAAACTCCCCTTTTATTTTTGCTCCAAATTTTCCATTCCTATATTATCCAACTGAAATTATTACTAATAGTTTTATTTACATCCTTCCATATATGTTTCTAAGAGTGCATGTAGGTACTCATACATGCATCCATCCACTGTTTACATAAATGGTATCAGAATACACGTCTTATTCCATGGCTTTTTTTTTTAACACAAGAATAGACATCTTTCTATATAAGTAAATATAAATCTGTTCCAAATTTTGATGGCAACATAATATTTGAAATGCAAATTATTAGTTTATTGAACCATTCCATCACTGATCCACATTTAGGCTGTTTCTGGTTTTTTACTTTTTGAACAATAATAATATGACCATATTTATTCATATTTCTTGATTCTTATTTGTCAGTGTGTATGCAGGGTGAACTCATCCTAAGTTGTATTATGGGGTCAAAATAAGTGCATGTTTTAAAGTCTGATTGATATGGCTAAACAAAAGAAGTCAATCATTAATCCTTGCCAAATGTTTAGGTGAAGTATGGATCTGGTTAGATTTTGGTGTGGGGTCCCTAAACATAGTGTGACATTTTCATTTGATAAGAATAGTTGTCTGGGTTATGTTATCCCTATATGCCAATTTAATCTGTTTCATGTCGAAAACAAACAGAATGGCATCCACTGCTAGCTTCTCTCCCCTCCCCCTGCCATATACATAAACTGTGGTATACCTGTCTCTGAAAAGTAAACTGGACATCTTTTACTTATGATGAAGATGACAATAGAGACATAATTGATCCTAATTGCAACAAATCAGATGCCTAGAAGAGAAGACAAATGGTAGAGATTCAGGGCTTTGTGCCAAAAATCCTAAGAGGCAGGAAGTGCCCTGGGATATGCTCCAGCTGCAGCGGAAATGTGAGAAGCCTCAAATGGTTAAAAGGAAATAGCCTGCTGAAGGAGAGACGTGTGTGTGGCAGGATGTGTTGCTACAAAGAATTTCTCTAGCTCTTTGTTGTTAAGTTAATTTAATACTGTGCATATCCATTTGCTTTTTACTGAATTTTACTGCATAAGATAAGGAAAAGGCTATGGTATATAGATCATTTCACCTTTTCTGCTGATGCCACGCCTTTGCATCTTATCTGTAACTTCCCTGTGAAAACACCACTGAAGAGGCAATGAGTTGTACAATGGCTACTTTTTTTCCTCCAAAATAATGTTTCACTAATACCTGTGTTTGGAAATTCATAGAGAATTCCAATTATATAGAATTATTATGAAATGTAATATTTATTCTGGGGGAAGATATATCCTATTATTCAATAACAGTTTTGTCCAAAGGACAAAATATTAACAGAGATTAATGAATTCATCCTTTTAACGTTTATACAATGTGGGAAAGGGCAAATAACATTATTCTCATTAAAGATTACCATATTTGATAGAACAAGTACCAGTATGTTTTGAGCTTAACTGAACATAATTTGTGAGTGTAGAAATCTAAACTATTCATAACAATAGCTTTTATTTGGGGAGTATCAGCAGTATGTCACATACCCTAACTGGAGCAACATCAGCAACCTTGTGAGTTTTGCAGAATAGGCGCTAAATTTGATTTGCCAATGTTACCTCAATTTCATTTGTGAAAGGTCAGTATAAAAATGAATTCAATAAGCAATTTTGGGATTAGAAATCTGAGAGGTTAAGTGTATTACCCAAGACCATACTAGTTAGTAACAGACCAAGGCCAACATTTCCACAGAGCTCAAGGGCAAAACTACTTCCCTCCTACTTGCTTTCATTTTCTTTCTTCGGAGAGAATACGTGTTCTTTCTTGTGAGGTTTTTCCCTTAACCACCCTGTCAGTAATGGGCATTAAGACTTCTGAACCACTCTCCACAATGAGAAACTTCCTCATACTGAATTATTTGCTCTTTTTACTGTCATTTGGCTGTTTTGTTTTACTTTGTTTTTTGTTTGAGACAGAGTCTGGCTTTGTCACCCAGACTGGAGTGCAATGGAGACATCTCGGCTCACTGCAACCTCTACCTCCTGGATTCAAGCTATTCTCCTACCTAAGCCTCCCAAGTAGCTGGGACTGCAGGTGCACACCACCACTACCGGCTAATTTTTGTATTTTCAGTAGAGACAGGGTTTCACCATTTTGGCCAGGCTGGTCTCAAACTCCTGACCTCAAGTGATCCACCTACCTTGGCCTCCCAAAGTGCTGGGATTACAGGCGTGAGCCACCGTAACTGGCTGGTGTTGGATCCATTGAAGAAATCGTATTTTGAAGTTGAAAAATGATAAAATATACACGAAAAGATGCAATAGAACTGAAACAAAAGTGAAGACAGAGATTAAAATACTAGCTATCAGTTTTTAATGAGTTCATACATCTACCCCCTGGAAAAGTTGGTGTGGTGAAAAGAGTCGTATCCAACTTTTGGTTCAATTCTGGGTTTTGCATTTCTAGCTGTGTGAAATACAAGCAAAATATTTTTAGCTGCTTTGAACTTTAATATCATCAGTGATAAAATGGGGATGATGATAGCTATGTCATAAGGTATTTTTTAAGAGTTAAGGTAATGTCTGTAAAATCTTTGTACCTCATGAGTTCTTAATAAATCATAGCTGTCATGAATAAAGTATGAAATCAGATTGCTGAATTGACTTACATATTATATGATATCCAGAATATGTTGTTAATTAGTAAGTGATTTACCAAAATTTATAGGGGCAGGGAAACAGTGAGTACTAAGACTTAGCAAGTATTCACTGAACTCAAATGATGCTATACAAATCTCATTTCCTTTAAAGTGTGATGTTAGATCAGGGATCAGCACACAGGCCAAATCTGGCATGCAGTCTGTTTTTGTATTTCTGAGAACTAAAACTTTTTTTTAATATTTTTAAGAAAGGAAACCAAAAACACTGAAGAGTATTTCTTCACATGAAAATTATATAAAAATCAAATTTAAGTCTTCATAATCAAGTTTACTGGAACATAGCCACACTTAATGCATTTGTCTTACGAGGCAGCTATGTCATTACAATGACAGTCCTTGGAACAGAGACTATATGATCTGCAAAGCCTAAAATCTTTACTTTCTGGCTGTTTATGGAAGAAGTTTGCAGATTCTGTACTAGAATATTAGGTCACAGAAATTTCCCAGACACATTATTTCTGTATTTAAGAAAGAATTTAACAAAGCCAACATGCCATCTGTCTAACATAAGTACTTCCTCTCCAAATGCTGAGCTAAATTCTGAAAGATGGCAGCCCACCTTAGATTATATTCCCTAGGCCTCTTTTGTCTAGATGGGCCATATGACAAGTTTTGCCAATGGAATGTGAGTGAACATGATGAGCATCCTTTCTAGACAGGGGTTTTAAGAAGCAGATGTTCCTTCCAGCTAACTGAAGCAAAAGACTCAAAAACCGTAAGAATGACAGAACCATAAAACAGAAGGAGCCTGGATGCCTATGTGGAGGAGAGATACGCACCCACCAAAAACTTCTGGTTTGTACTGTTGAGTGGCAAATGAAGTTCTATTGTTTAATCATTGAAACTTGGGAGTTTGTTCATTATAGCTATTAGTGTTTTCCTAACTAATTGACTTCTCAAGATATCCTCCTAGAGAAAATACAGGAATATAGCTGAATAACAATACTTGAATGAATTTAGAGATGAATAACTGAGTTCAACCATGGCTGATTAATCAATTAATGCCAAAATGGGCAGAATAGGTATACCACAGGGATTTTCGATCCCTGGCCCTATTCTGATAACCAATTCTATGAAACTCAATGAGCATTTAGAAATGTTTTTGAAGGTTTCCTGCCTTTGGAAGAGTTACTTTTTTTTTTTTTTTAAATCAGTGGATAGAATCATTGGGACAAATTTATAAAGGCATAGTCAGCTTAGTATAAAGAATAATGGAAAAATAAAAAGAGAGACAGTTGCCTGAAAGGAGCTACCTTGCAACATAGTGTGCCCTCCACAAAGTGGTCAAACAGTGTGTGAAGAGCTTTCATTATTTTGGCAAAAGAGAGTTCATAATTACTCAAGAAGTTGAATTAATAATTCCTTCAATTCCTCCTAACTTTTGATTATTTAATTTCATCACTAAATGTTTTCTTGTTTTAATCATAGACTTACTATTTAGTTTCAGGAAATAGACAAATCAACAAGATGAAAAGATAACTCTGCCACTGATTACCTATAAATCTATACATTGACTTTTCATAAAAATTTATTTATAAATAAATAATTTATAAACTATTTATTCACAGGTCATAAATATATAGTCCAGGAACTCTTGATTAAGTTATTCATTCTGTCATACAGCAAACAAGGTACAATGGAGAAAAGAAAGATAACTCAAAGGACTGGCATATTTGTTACGATGTATTCATCTGCAAGTAAGATAATAGCAATTTTATTAAGTTGATTAAATGATAAGATACTTAATAATTTCACACCAAAAAGGTTGAACCTAGCTGAGACCACATTATGAGAACAAAGTATCATATGCAAAAGGTGTATTAGTAATTATTTAATAATTAATAAATACATAAGACAATTGATATCATTTATATTCTGATATGATACAGTGGGAGGGGATCATCACTTCTTTGTTTTTCTGGTCTAAAATGCATAGTCTATCATGAGACAACATTGGATAAGCTCAAATTATGGGACATTCTAGTAAATAATTAACTAGCACTCTTCCAAAATGTGAAGACCATAATGATGAACAAATTGTTTGCTGGGCCTGGTGGCTCACATCTACAATCCCTAGCACTTTGGGAGGCTGAGGTGGGCAGATCACCTGAGGTCAGGAATTCAAGACCAGCCTGGCTAACATGGTGAAACCCCATTTCTACTAAAAATACAAAAATTAGCCAGACATGGTGGCAGGCGCATGTAACCCCAGCTACTCGGGAGGCTGAGGCAGGAGAATTGCTTTAACCAGGGAAGCGGAGATTACAGCGAGTGGAGATCGCGCCATTGCACTCCAGCCTGGGCAACAAGAGTGAAACTCCATCTTAACAACAACAAAAAAGTCGCAGAAATAATGGACTAAAGAAACACAACAATTAAATTCTATTTGGGATCCTGCACTGGATCTTGGAACGGGGAAAAAAGAAAGATATTAGCAGAAAAACTGGTAAAATCCAAATATCTATAGATCATTTAACATTATTATACCAATGTTAATTCTTACTTCTGATGATTGTACTATGGTTATGCAAGATCTTAACACTGAGGGAAGCTGGCTGAAGGCTATACAGAAACCCTCTATTAATTGTACAACTTTTCTGTAAGTCTAAAATTATTTCAAAAAGGAAAAAAGAAACAAAATTGGTCATTCCAGATACAGCATGATAACACAGAAACATCATCAGGGACCCAAGATTTTTTTCTGCTTCTCCATTCTGCCACCCTTCCATGTTGCTTTTTGTCTCTAGGCTCGTTTGCATACTGGATGCTCTCCACTTCAGATCCACGTATCTCCATCTTGTTTTTTTCCCTGTAAAACAGCCTTCTATAAATTAAATCGACTGGACATCCCTGTCCTATGGCTTATGTTAAGGCAATGCTAGCAGATGAAAGTGCCAGAAGAGTGGGATTTTAGGTAGATAATTCCCCTGGCTCTTTCCATTTTAGGCTAAGGTTTTGTAAGAGCCTGAGGTCCTCTACCTAAGGCCCTGATGTCGTTTACTCTAGGGCACCCCTCTCCTAAAGCTGTCTGGTTCTGGTAATCATTCTCTCCTCTTGCATCTTCAGCCCTAGGGTGCTATCTATGCCTGCAGTTCCCTTTTACCCTGCCCACTCTTTACAAAATTAATAATTGCCTCATTTGCATGTGCCATCTCATTCTTGCCTAAACTCTGACTGATGCATCTCCTCATAGTAACAAAATAGTCCATGTAGTTCCAAGCATCATGTCGTCTTTCATGTATTTAGAGCGGTAAGAACAGATAACATCTATGAGGCATGAAAAAAAACTGCCTGCTGTATATGGCTTCAGTTCTAGCTGTGTCATTCACTGGCTTTATAGTATGTCTGGCACACAGTAGGTATTCGTATTCACTATCTTGTTAATAGAAAGTTCATCCTGCTGCTCAGGATAAATACTCTAGAGTCATACTCACTTTCTTTCTAACCCCAAAGCCAATATAAGTTCTGCCTCTAAATATGTCTACATCCATCCATCAGTTTTCATTCCCTGCACCATCACAGTCCTAGTTCACCATCTGTCTTTTTGATAATTGTGTTTGTCTCCCTGCTTTAACACTCCTTTATGCTCCTCCCGTGCACGCGCGTGCACACACACACACACACATACACACACATTTTTACAGTAGGCAGAGAGATCTTTTAAAATGTAATTCAGATCATGTGACTCCTCTGCTCTGAACTCTCCCAATTCACTGAGAGGAAAAGCCAGTCCGTGTCTTGACAGTGTCATAAGATCCTACAAGATTTGCCTGCTTCCACTCCTTACCTAACTTACCTTATCGGCAATTGCTTTCTTCTTTATATGCTGTTCAGCCACACTGGGCTCCTAGCTGTTGCTGAAACATGCCACCTGCGCTCCCACCTAAGGGTCTGTCCTACTTCCTCTGCCTGGAACTTTCTTCTACCAGACACCTTACTGATCTGCTCCCTCACTTTCCTCGGTCTTTGCTCAAATATCAGCCTTTTCTGATCACCCTAAATAAAATAAAACTCCATCCTTATCATACTAGTGCCAGGACTTCTTATTCCGATTATTTGCTTGCTTTCATATAACTCAACCATTATAGATATATGTGTGTATATTCATGTGCTATGTGCATGTGTGTGCATATACATATACGCATGTGTATATACACACACACATTTTGGGTCTGTCACTAGAATGCAGTATTCTTACTGTCAAAGATTTTGTTCAGTGTTATATGCACAGTCCCTAGGATGGTGCCTGGTACATAGAAGATAATAAATATTTGTGTAATAAAGGAATGTATGAATATTAATTGAATGCAAATCTGTACAAATACTTTTTAAAGGTTATTTCCCTGCTGGGATTTGGGAAGATTTCTTCTTGTGAAATAAGCAGAGGGAACTTGAACTAAATAACTCCATTGCCTACTGAAGAAGCTGCCCAGAAAACAGAAAAGTACTGCTCATCAAATATTCTTTCAACGTTCCTCTTGCAGAGCCATCTTGAATGGAGACTGCCTTAGACAACCAGAGAAAAGTTTTATGGCTACAGTAAATAAATTTTTATTGCTATGTAAGCCAACATGTAAGCAGGAATACTTAATGATACTCTAGATATACCTGGAGGAAACTTTTGCCATACTTCATACATTGCTGACATGTCAGCTACAACACTTCACGCTTGACTGAGGCGCTATTAAAACAATTACCGAGTCATTAACAAGAGCTTTTAAGACCAGTTTTGAAATCACACTAGCAAGAAAATTTGCTTTGATAGCCATATTAGCCCCCAGTGTGGCCTGGACTTGGACAGTTTTCAACTTCAAGATTCTGTCTCCTGGCTTCTTATCTATTTATTCCTTTGATTCCTGAGAGCACTCCAAAGGCAGGTATAAACTATATTTCAAATGTCATTAAAACTTCATCCATCTAGGCCTAAACTAATGGAAAACTACTTCAAGAATGTCTTTGATTTTGAGTGTCCACATTCTGACCATTCTGAGAGCTAACAGGGAAAGAAAAATTGGAAAAACCAAAGTACAGTCCCCCTTTTATACTCTCAGGGATCCAAGGACAAGATTCAATAAAAATTTCTCCCCCATCTTCTAAAATCTTTTATAGCAATTACTACCACCTGAATCTCAGACACACTTTCCAAGTTGGTATAGTTGAACTTTTCATACTTGATTAACTTTATTCTGCTTACTCCTCTCAAACTTGGGGACTTCTCTCCTCTCATCTCTAACATCCTAATGTTCACCATCCTTCATGCAGACTATGGCTGCTGAAACATCCAGGGAGACAGTTCGTTCACCTTCCTCACCCACAATGCCACACCTAGTCCAAATTACCTTATAACCCCTACCGGCGAAAGTTCTATCTTTTCCCTGTTAACTACTTATGTACAGTGAAGAGCATATACTCGTATCTTAATCAAAGAAATTTAGGCAGATGATCAGTTACTATTAGGGCTAATCAATGAAATACATATTTGCATTTTAAAGAGGAGGCCAATGAAAATGAATTGTCTGATGCACAACCTCCTATCCCTGAGGAAAACAGTACTGTTTTATGTTTTCTTTTACTCTGACAAAAATTGAAGATACACAATGACACAGAGACTAGTTAGGAAGATTTGAACTCTCTCTTTATAAACAAAAAACTAAGCAATAGCCATTGTCATGAGATCTGTTTATCCCTGCCTTTCCTCCCCTGCCCACCTAAGGTGAGATTCTTTACAAAACACCTGTCATACAGAGATACAGAGGCGGATATGCGTGCCAAAGGGACTGACTACGATGTGCCCAACCCCTGACAGGAAGTGGGAAAGAAAGGAGGACATTCTGACCCTTCTAACGCTTTCCATAGGACATTCTGTTGTAACTTTTTCACTCATCTGGGACACTGAGGAGGAGTCTCTTCTCAATTACTTATGGAAACGTGAAAAAATAGGCCAATGTGATTTCTAAACAGTTTAAAACCGTTTTTTTAAAACAGAAAATATATATAGATTATTCTCCCTTATTGCAGAGACACAGCCCATTTCAGTAGGGAGAAAAATTTTTGCAGAATCTCACTTCATTAATAAGCAATAGTCAAAGTCTATTGCAAATAAGAAGACTCAGGCCCCATTTCGGTATTTTCCATAGACTTTTGTGAAACAGGTAGCAAGCACATGCTTGAGTAGGAAAGTCTTTTTTCTTTTCCCCACATCAACTTTACTACCAGTACATTTTTTCCCATAGAAAATAACTGAGTACAGCCAGGCACAGTGGCTCACACCTGTAATCCCAGCCAGGTGTGGGATTTTTGAGAGGCTGAGGCAGGTGGATCACCTGAGGTCAGGAGTTCAAAACCAGCCTGGCCAGCATGGTGAAATCCTGTCTCTACTAAAAATACAAAAATTAGCTAGGTGTGGTGATGGGCACCCGTAATGCCAGCTACTCAGGAGGCTGAGGCAGGAGAATTGCTTGAACCCAGGAGGCTGAGGTTGCAGTGAGCCAAGATCACTCCATTGTACTCCAGCCTGGGGAATAAGAGCAAAACTCCATCTCAAAAAAAAAAAAAGAAAGAAAGAAAGAAGGAAGGAAGGAAAAAGAAAGAAAATAACTGAGTAGAAATCAAATCTTAATATTCTACTCACAGAATCTTGCTGCAATCAATCTCAACTCTTATGGAAAGTAATATTGCTCCCAGTGCCATTTCATCCATTTCTTAGACTACCTAAAAGATCTACTTCAGCACTTTCAAAAATACAGGTTATTTAAAGTCTCACTACAGTTCAAAGCCAGTGATTAATATTGCCAATGTAACAGTTGATTCTTAACTTCTACAGTTGTTTACAGAAACTAAACATTTAAAAACATATCATTTTTAGATAAGAATGTTCCAAAATTTAAGAATCCAGTGGGTTTTTTTATTATTATTATTGTTTTAATATCCTGGGCATAAACAAAAAGGCAGCATATTAAAGTCTTTATAGTACACATATTTCTTTGTTATCCTTCAAAACACATAATATTTAACACACGTTAATTATTTTTCTCATGTGATAAAATAAACTGTATTAATTTTCTGGTGCTATATAAACCTTATCTTAAATTTAATGGTTTAA